CCCCCCCCCCCCCCCCCCTCTCTTTACTTTTTCAGAGTAAAGTTGATCAAACCTTCTTGCACGTAATATAAAAAATATCTAGTGGCCAAGAGGACCTGTTTCTCTTATACCGCGTGGTTAAGAGGTACGTGTTCCTAGCTGCTTAGAGGGCTGAAAAATAACATGTTTTCCTCTTCTGAAAGGTATCCTTAGGTAATTTTATCAAGATAAAAAATCGATATCATTTAGTAAATGTATTAAAATAAGACAGAATTTAATGAGTTTTACCTTCTGTTTTCAAACATTTTAAAAATATATCAAAACACGACATTGGATTAAAATTTGATGCATTTTGTTTATATTACAAAAGAATAAATAAAACAGGAAAAAGGTGATGCAAAACTGTTCTGTCTGCAATCCAAATGTAAGTCTACATTAGTTACACTTTCACGTATCACAATAGCTCAATTTAAAAAATAAAAAAAAAAATACATGAATGATCATTCCAAAATTATAAGAAGCTAATAAGAACAGTATAACCGCAGAACAAATCACTTCCGAAGCAAACAGCATATTTAGAACACTCCAAAAAATACTTCCCTGCAGAAATTGCATAAAATGAAATATAATGTTCATACATGTAAACAAAATGATTCAAATGAATCATATATGATTAAATTGGTCAACAAAACATCAAATTAATTGGCTGATTGATTTTTAATTCCACATATTTATTGAACTGCATGGAATTAGCAGCTTGTAATTGTGTTATCCTCTTGCCTTCCTGGTGAGTGATAAATTCTCTGGAAGTTTGTAAAGGCTAAAACATTCCAGGTATCGTTCCATAACAGTTACAAAGTAAAATGGTTTTTTCTGTCACCGGACAGGGTTGTTGCCATCTAATGTTAAAAGGACCTTATATAGATCTGGACGCCTATCACGGAATACCCCCCAAGAATGCCTCATGGATTTGATATTGTCCAAATCAAATTGAGCAATAAGAACAGCTTCCTCTTTATCATCAGCAATTGAAACAATTTCTCCGGTAGGTCCTGCAAGTTGATAGAGAAAACAAAATAGAAACAGGGAACTCATGCCGGCAGCTAATATTTCCAAGTGTATGATTAAATGAAGGAAAGAAATTCACTTTAAAAAGGGGAGGGGGGGAATGGCAAGAAAAGTTGGTTAAAGGTTGGGATTGGGATGAATGTGGAAAAAAGTAAATCATCTTTTAAATGAAGGGCTTTTCCTCACTGTTCGACCAGTAAGGTGTGCTTCTGTGACAAAAAGAAAACAGTCTCAATTACCTGTGATGAAGGAGTTTCCATAAAATGTAATCTCACTTTTTCCATGCTCAGTCTCAATTATCTCCTTTCCTATCCTATTTGAAGCCACAACAGGTACCTGCATTTTCCAAAATTAATTGATCAAATCTGTTGGAAAGTTTAGGCAAACATATTTACACAAGGGGTTAAAAAACCCTTGATATTTGCAAAAAAGATGAAAAAAAAAAATCATTTTTCTCTGGTACATACTTTAGCATAATGCATCTTGGACTTTTTTTATCCAATATCTACTGTTGAAGGAGTTATAGATTAGGAAATAGAAACAGATGCGAGTATGGCATATATACACTATTACACAGCATAAGAGAGCAAGATATGAACCTTATAGACATATTATAAATGCTAATATATGTGGATGGGCAACTACTAACTTGTATGCAAAACCTACCAAATTGGCCCTAGCATGTCCTTGCATTACTCGTTTCCAATGGTCACGAGAGTCAATGCTTCCATCCTGAGGTTCAGATCCAATAGCAGTAGGATAAAATAGAATTTCAGCACCTTGAAGCACCATTGCCCGGGCTGCCTCAGGAAACCACTGATCCCAACAAATAGCTGACATGAAAATTAATTAAAATAGTGAAAAAGAAAAAAAAAATTGTTAACTTCAGTTTCCTATCTGGAAGAAGGATGAAAAAATGCAGCTTCCAAAATGTGTTTGGTTTCTTTAGCAAAGCTAAAGTCAAAATTGAGAAAATGTTTTTTATAGATTCGATATTTTTCTGTGTCTTTTTCTTGATACAGCCACACTAAATAAAGGTTTGAGTACAGGAGTAAAGATCAGAATGCATACAGTTATAGTAATTATAAGTTCTTACCAACTCCAATTTTTGCAAATTTAGTATGGAAAACCTGTTCAGCAAAAGCCTCAATGTTACATGTTCCCCAGTTATCAAAAAGAACCATTTAAAACAGTGAATACCAATTAAGGCTATCTTAAGCACTCACCTTGAATCCAGTGTCACCTGGATTAAAATAGAACTTTTCCTCGTAACCTGTAGGAGAGATTGTTTAATGAGATAGGATGTACACATACTAAATGACACACAAAACCTGAATATTGCATACCTGGTCCATCCGGAATATGGGACTTTCTATAAATCCCAAGATCAGTTCCATCAGCATCAATTATGGCTATTGAATTATAATGTGCATTGTTGGCCTCCTCAAAGAAGCTAACTGGTATGACTACACCCAACTCTTTTGCAAGTTTCTGCATCCTACATCATGAACATTGAAACAAGAATATGATTCACTGCAGGATGATGCACATAAAAGACAAAGCCAATATTTATTCTTCTCTGTTCTGGCCTCTTACATCACCATAATATGGTTCCAGTCCATTGAGTGGCATGCAAGCAGTGACTATAAAGCAGATCACATAAGCTACTTTTTCAATTATTTTACCTGAGGATGGTGGGATGGTCCTTATATGGCTTAGCTCTTTGAATGAAATCCCCTCTTTGTGCCTGACAGAAGTAATAACCTTCAAAGAGTTCCTGAAAATAATCACACATCATTAATATGATCCAAACACACACGATCAGGGATTTCCATTAAAATTAACAAATCCAGTAAAATTTCTATTCCTGCAGTGATAGAATAAGGAATCTGTTTTTCCTTCACAAACATCAAAAGATAAAAATCCTTTTTGTCAGTCAGTAGTTTCAGATAAATAAAATTCCAGGAAACCAGTCCATCATGTCAGCAATTACACTCAAGAATCATAAACATTATTAAGAAATCAAGGCTAAGTATTTAGTGTAAACAAATGCTGCGTATTAGATTAACAAACAAAGCAGAAGTAAACTTTAATTTATTCAAATCTAATCTAAATTCCATTTTGCACAAGCAACTTGCTGATGTACAATTCTGCTTCCTGTCTAACAGATTCTCTCATAACTTCACTAGATTTCTCATCTAGCATATCACAGTGTTACTCCAGTCAAAGTCCTAGGCCATAACCTGTTAAGATTTGTAATATTGAATTGTATTATTCACGATAAAAAAATAAAAAAAAAAGTAATATCATATAAAAGGTTTACACAATCTAGTTGGTGAACTATAAATCGAGGGTCGTCATCTCTAAGCAAACTAATTCACAACCTCAATATAGCAAACTAATTCACAACCTCAATATTTGCATTGCTACGTTGGTGGTTGCTCCTCCTCATTTTGTTGAAACAATATCACTTTTAGTAGGAGTGGTGAACAAATTACCAAACGGTTTTGAAACCAATGAATAAAAAATGCACAGAATTCATTTATGCATACATCCTACTTGACCTTAACCTTATCAAGCAATTAAAGAAGTGAACAAAAGATTGTAAATACTTGACATGTAACATAAGTAGGAATCACAGTCAGGGAAAGGCATCCCTGGTTTTAAATATACACACCTGAATGAGAACAATGTTCGCACCCTGTTTATGTGCAGCTCTAACTAGCCTGCACAAGAGTCAAAAGCATCACATAACATGCATAGAAATTTCATTTCTGCCACTGTTTAATCTATAAATTATCTTTTATTTTTACTTAAACAAAATCTAGGGAAAGAAAAACCGAAGCTCGAAAAGCCTCAGAAGCAGAAACAGAATCCAAAGGACAACAACTGAGTAAGATCTTTAAACCTAGAAGACAAAGCATGGGATCAAGCCCAAACATAACGGGTATTTCCGAAGGAGCAAACACTGATTTAAAAATGAAATTTTTTGACCTGGGCTGGTCATAAACTGGTGACCAAGTTGAGGATTTAGAGTATGAATTGGGGTTGCAAGGCTGAACAGTCCCAAATGAATTGAAATTAAAAGAGGGAAAATTGTTACCTCTCGGCGGTGGCGACATTAGTTGAGACATCATCGGTGCAAGCAAACTGCAGAGCGGACACGACAACATTTCTAGGCTTCTCCATCTGCGCCAACAACGTAATTGGGCTCAGATTTTGTGAAGAACACTGCGTTAAAGAAAATAGAATATATTCCGCCAACTTTTCACTCTACATGGCAGTACAGGCGTGTATAGCATTCCATGTTCCTCATAAATTAAACCTTACTTCTATGTTTTTTTTTTTTTAGAAAAATAATATCTTAAAACACCAACCATAAATAGAAAATTTCAATAAAAAAATTACTCGTTGATTTCTTAATCCAGCTAATAGCTGAACTTTTTAGATTTTTTTAGGAGAACAATACTTCCACTTAACCCAGTTGAATATAATAAGGTTTGAAGAATAAGTATCACCTTCACCTTAAAGAAATTATATAAATAATTTTTAAATTATTTGACTATTCATTAAATTAGCTCCTAATTAATATATTTTCATTAATATAAAGAAATTAATTAAAAATATCATTTTAAAAATTATGCAGGCAGCAGGATCTATAATACTTTAAAAACTACTTAGATATTTCAGTAAAAAAAACTACTTAGATTTATTTGGATAAATTTTTTCTATAGCATATTTGGAAGAAAAAGAAAAATTAAATAAATTTTTTTTCATAAATTACAGATGAATTTTTTTTTATAAAAAAGTTGTTTTTTTTTCTTTTTTCTTTTTAAAAGTGTTTATAGAAAAAACTGTATTCAAACCAATATAGTTTTAATAGCATAAGACTGTTTAGAAGAGGATAATATACTTTAAAGCCATATTCATATTCTAAATTTGAATCTTACTTTGATCTAGGTGGTGGTAATATACCTTGTATTTAGATCATGCTTTTATGTGATTGCATCACCTATGTATTTGATGGATTGGATTTTAAAAATAATAACGATGATAATAATGCTAATAATAATAATATTAATAGTATTAATGATGACTATAATAATAATAATAATAATAGTTATTATAATAACAAAAATATTAGTGGAGAGAATAATAATAATGTTGATGTTATTAGTAAAAATAATGGTAATAATAACTGTTTTAATAATTATGATAATGATAATAATGATAGAGATAATTATAATGATTGGTACATGATAATTTTGTTTATAAGGTTTGTTTAGATAAAATTATCCAAAAACACTTCCAAGAAAATAAAATAAAAGAAAAAAAAAATAAGTTTCTGAAAAATAAAATTAGCTTACACATAAGTTATTTTATAGAAGTTATCTAGTATTAACTTGTTCAAAATATTATTTTTAATTTTTGAATAAATTAATTTTAGTTTATGAAAAAATTATTTTCATTTTCATTTTTTCTCCTAAAAGTATTTATGAAAAATTTATCCAAACAAATTTATAATCTTTAAATATAAATTATTTATTTTAATTTACAAATTAAAATTGATTATTTTTATTCTTAATTATGAAAATCATTCTCACATGAGACAATTGAGATAATAACTTAAATTTATAAACGAATTTTTTTTATATAAATAAATTAGTTTCGTGAATTTGAAATTTTAGAGCTTAGAATTATTTTCAAATAACTTTTTTCTACTAAAATTAATTTTTTGTTGTATTCAAAAAAAATTAAATATTACAAAAATCACATTTTAGCAAACTTATCCAAATAAAATTTGATTATAATTATCTAATTAGTTAGAATATAATCGATTATACATATAATTAGATATTAAAATAATCTGATTTTTACATTTTTCTCACACATACTCTTTTAATCCAAAAACATAGTTTCTTTTAATTTATATATCTAAACTTAAATAATAATATATAAAAAATTATACATATAATTTTTTTTATTTGGTGGATTCGTTATTTGTGAGTATTAAGCTTAAAAATGAATGATACGGGTTTGAAAATTGGTTTTTTATATGATGTTTTAACATTTATTTATTTTTAATAAAAATAAGATTTGAACCTAAAACATATTATACATAAACTATTTAAATTTTTGTCATTAGACCAATTTTAATAAGTCACATTTATGAAATGTTCTATTTGTTAGCTAGTGTGGCCATCACACCCAAGATAGAAATATTTAGTAATATGCTCTTATAATTATTGTTGAAGATTTAGTTTTTGAACATGTATACAAAGAATACTATATATATTAGGAGAGTTCATATGTTCTATGATTTATTTTAATGAGTTTTTTGGTTTAACAAGCCAGTTGGGTCCTATTTTTAGTACTAGCCACAAATGCATAATTTTAATGTACTATTCAAGTTTAACAATCCTCACTCATATTTAAGGATGGTAACAGGGTCTCATGAGGTAATAGTAAATCCGCTCCCGTTCTACTAGATGAAAATTGTCTCCATACCCATCCATATCTGTGCGAGTATCCATTAAGCGGGTATCCATGAATTTCTTGAATATCCACGGATATTCATGAATATCCATGAATATTTATATATTTTTTAAGAAATTAAAAAAATTATATTACAAATAATTTTAAGTCTATATTTAACATCATTGAAATATTAAAAATAAAAATTTAATGTTAATTTTGAACTTGTATTTAACGTTAATTTTGTTGAAATAACAATAAAAATGTAAGATAATCTATGACTTAAAATACATCAATCTCACAAGTAAGTTAAAGTTTCATCACAAAGGTAAAATAATTCAATCTATTAATTTCAAACGAAAGTAAACAATTTAAAATACATAAATTTTATTGGTCCAATCAAAACTAGAAAATTAATCAAATTATATCCAACATAATTCTATAACATGCTTAATACATGTTGGTAACTTCATCAACCTCACTTTTGTAAGAAAATAAGACGAGAGAGTGTAGTTTTAGGGTTATGTGGTACAAGAATAATTAGAATATCTAAGAAATATTATTAAACGGGTATCCGCGAGTATGGATATCATCATACCCGCTCCCGCCCCATTTATAAACGGGTAAAAAATTATCCGTCCTCATTATCCGCGAGTACCTAATTAGTCTATCCATTTATTATCCGTAGCGAATTTTACCCGCAGATACTCACGGGTAGGAGTATTTTTGCCATCCCTCCCCTACTCATATCATCATTAAGTTTTGGGGAACAGTACCGGAGATATATTAAGTGAGTTAGTTATAGGTTGATTAGTGTGTTAGTCAATAATTAGTAACAGATTGATTCACTTGTTAGTATATAAACCTTCTTTTACATACATCTTTTTTCCTCATTTCAGTTAATATAATTTCATATTTCTCTTAAATTTTTTTCTTCTGCAAGCGCTACCATGTTTCCTAATAAACGTTACGTCCTACACATGTAAAAGGTACCAATTCCTGCACTTCATTTTCTCAGGTACATTCGTTCAATTTTTATTTCAAGTTATTGGCAATTTTGCATTAAATAAAAAACTTGACCGAAGAAGCAATGTTAAGCTCAAATGAGACCATTTTTAAGTTAATGATATATCTTTCTTTCAGTGTGGTCAATGTGAAAAGCATTATTTGCTCCATTTGATCCAATAAGTGCAACCTATTATCCAGCTGGATATCTGATGCTTACAAAGCTCATTCTTGTTACCATTTTGTTTGTCTGCAAATATTTAAGAACATAAAAAGCTAAAGCCTGGTAGAATATACTCTCTACTTTTGGATAAAATGTATAATATGCTTTTAACTCTTACGTCTTTAATAATTCAAAAAAAAGCTAACTTCTGTTGCTATGTGGTTGAACTCGAGAATGAAATTTTACTATTAGTCTCTAACAATTCTTTGATACCTTCCACTAGCTAAATGGCAGAAATAAACCACAATAAAAGTTACTTCGGATTCTCCATAGTTGCTATAATACAAACGACCACCATGCAGGCTACAAAACACTATAAATACATCAATCATGAAATTCTAAGCACATCATCTTCTAAGCTCTAACCACACTGATCTAATTAAGTTTTCTTTGGCTAAAACTTTCAGCCATGTCTTTTAAGGCCCTCACACTGACCCTATATGTTTTTGCCATGATGCAAATATCAAGGGCTGGTGACCCTGACATCCTCACTGACTTCATAGCCCCTCCAAATACCACAATTGATGGCAACTTCTTCACCTTCACCGGCTTCCGTTCCATATTCTCACGAAACACCTCTCTCTCAGAATTCACAATTCTGAAGGCAAGTAGAGTACAATTTCCAGCTCTTGATGGACAAAGTGTCTCGTATGCTTTTCTTGAATTCCCTGGTGGCAGCACCAACCCACCACACACACACCCTCGTTCTGCTGAACTTCTCTTCACTGTTCAGGGTTCCCTCCAAGTAGGGTTTGTGGACACAACAAATAAACTCTTCACTCAGACACTGCAAACTGGTGACATGTTTGTGTTTCCAAAGGGCCTCGTGCACTTCCAACTCAATGCAGATGCTCAGAAGCCTGCATTTGCTATATCTGCCTTTGGAAGTGCCAATGCTGGGACTGTGTCGATTCCTAGCACTCTCTTTAACACTTCCATTGATGACAAGGTCTTGGCTTTGGCCTTTAAGACTGATGTTGCCACCATTCGAACTTTGAAGAAAGGCTTTGCTCCTAAAGCATGATCATATGGGTGGCACTAATTAATAATTACCACTTCGTGACATTTTGCTTGCTTGTATTTTGCATTAATTTCAATAAGTTGTTCTATAAAAGGGTGTGAATGGAAAATGCTTGATCTTGTTATTGTTGTAATTGTAGTCGCCTGAAATACAATAAAGAACTTTCTTGTGTTACCTATTTATCAAACGGGTTTTACTATGCAAATAATTGTTTTCTTGCATAAATCTATGCCAAGACTACTTTCTAATTTTTATGTTGAAAGGTAGCATACAATATATATATATATATATATATATATATATATATATAGTATCA